AAAAAAATTAACGGTGAGATAAGGTTTAAAATAAGAAACAAAGTCACTTTGTGAGATCTAAAGTAACCATGTGAAATATGTTACATTGCAAGATGAAAAGTTGCAATTTTGAGAAATAAAGTCGCAATCATAATGTGATTTTTTTTCTCTCTGAAAAACAGGCTTTCATAGATGTGAACTCTTTAATATCATCAATGTGATTCAGTAAAGCTGATTAAACATATTTGATGTAAACTAAGTAGTCTCACTCCCAATAGATCTTCTACCAAAAGTCATCCAGACACACAGTGTAAAATCAGAGCGAGAAAGAACCAAACTCATTCTGTTCTTAATTATTTAGGCTCATCTTGTAAAGACTAATCAGGTCTGTCTGTGAAGTGAATTGTGGTCTGAACAACAAACCCTCTTTAAAATAGGGAAAGAAGAAATAAAAAGAAAAAGAAAATAAGGTGTCGAAGGAATGAGTCAACATCCTTTAGAAGGACCTGCGAAATAAATGAACATTGAAGAAGTTACAGTCTAATTGATGTACGCTGAAACTTTTGTTTTGACAGGAAATGTATATTCAGATACATAAGTTAATTTTCACCTCGTGTGACTTTATCAGAATTTAGATTAGAACAAGAATGATTTATTTATGCATGAAGAAACAATCGACGGGCTAATTGAGGCACTCGCTGTGCTTTCATTAGACCGTTCTTTCATGTACTGGAAGGTCACGTAGGCTGTTTATTTGTCGCGTCTCATTGTCCTCCAATCAGGTGTGCTGGGAAGGATGAGCTAATGAACGGGGTGTGTAGTGTTTTCTCAGTGGATGGGAGAGCTGAAGCGGACCACCGTAATGGGCACTGAAGACAGAGGTCAGATAACAGCTGCTTCTCATTACTGAAGACAAGAATACCAGAAAACAAATGAGGGAGCACAACTGAACGTGTTGCATTAGCGACCATTAGTTTGAATTTAAAATGGAGCGAGACTTTTACAAAATACACTACTGTTCAAAAGTTTGGGGTCTGTAAGAGTCCCTTATGCTCACCAAGACTGCATTTATTTAATTAAATATAAAGCAAGAACAGGAATATTGTGAAATATTATTACAATGTAAAATAACTGTTTTCTTGTTGAATATATTGTAAAATATAATTTATTTGTGATCAAAGCTGTATTTTCAGCATCATTACTCCAGTCTTCAGTGTCACATGATCCTTCAGAAATCATTCTAATATGCTGCTTTGCTGCTCAAGAAACATTTCTGATTTAGGGATGGGTCACGATTTTCAAATATTCGATTAGTTGATTTATTTATTTATTTTATAATTTTATTTAATTATAGAATATCGATTAGGTTGTGCGATTATTGTCTTAAAACAATAATGGTGAACTAAAAAGGCGCATCTAAAAGCTGTCAAAGACAACAGAAGAACACATTGTCTCACGCGCACACTGTAGACTTGCGTGGCTTAAAAAAGACTTGCGTAGCATATGACGCTTACAGTAACTTGGGACGATGTCAAATAAGAGTTCTGTGCGGACCACAAACACCCCCGACGGAGGTGTGGCTGCTGAATCCGTATTCAGAAAGGCGCGGAAAACAAATAATGCGTTCTACATAGCCACTAAAGGGACATGGTTAGCTGCTTGATAACGGTAGCCTGTTACATTACAGTACATAACATTTAACTTACCACATAAACAGAGTAAGGAGAGGTGACTGATAGGATGATGGCGAATTATTTTCAGATCCTGAGCACCTGACAAACATCTAATCTTGTAAAATGTGTGGTAAGTACTGCAGAGTGCTGCTCCGTACGTGTGATCGCGAATCTCGAAAGTGAAAGTAAAAAAACAAGCGCGCGTTCAAAAGTGATTTAAATACCCCGCATATTAATAACGGCTCCCTGATGCCCGCAGTTTATATACAGTATAATTACCCAACGATATCATTGCGACAGAAGATATAGAAGTATATTTTCCTCCCATCTCGTATCTTTTCCCTCGAGGGGTTCCATTTTTTGAAATGGAAATGTCCTTGCCTTATGAGCAGTTCTTTTATGCTAATCGACGCACTGTTATGTTAAAAAGTGCCGTCATTGTGTTTATTATATTAATATGTTTCAGCATGTTTCAATCATTATATGGCTTGAGTTAAGGTAGCCTATCTTCTGAATTAAACAGTTTATCACACAGATTGAACGTGTGAATCCCGTCTCTCTCCCTCTCTCTCAGTTTATGGGTGTTTGTGCGTGCATGCTGGGGAGGGGTGCGATTTTCGAATAATAATCGAATAATACCCTGCGATTTTCGAATATTATTTTTGCTAATTTGCTTGGAATGCCCATCCCTATTCTTATTATTATCAATGTTGGAAACCGTTGTGCTGTACCGGCAGGGATTGTAGGTGGGGGGAGTGAATCATCATAAATGTTTACTCTCACTTTTGATCAATTTAATGCATCCTTACTAAAATAAAAGTATTAAATTGTTTTTCTTTTAAAAAAAACTTACTTACTCTACATCTTTTAATGGTAGTGAATCACAGTTTCTACAAAAATATTAAGCGTCAAAACACAAAAAAGGTTTTCACAGTATTACATTTTTACTATATTTTTGATCAAATAAATGCAGTCTTGGTTAGCATAAGCGACTTATTTCACAACCAAAAAATAAAAAAATTAAAATAATAATAATAAAAATCTTACCAACACCAAATTTCTTAACAGTGCAGGTTGTAAAATATTTTACACTCCATTTTAAATACATTTATTGGCATTAAACACACAGTAAATTATTGAATTTTTTCAATACAATATAATCAAATGTACACATGGCATGAATTCAGTACTTAATGAATAAAAACAGGATTTTATGAAATGTTTTTTTAAAGATTTGTACAGTAAGCATCACATAACATTGTAAATACAGTACTGGTCAAAAGTTTGGAGTAATTAAGATTTTAAAATTACTGTACTTCATTACACATGATGCATTTATCTAATTTGATGTGAATTCTTCTATTCTGTTGTCTGTTTTCTAAAGTCTTGTCACAATAGTTTTATTGCTGTTGAGAGTAACACTGACAGTGTTTATTTTTCACTTTTTACTTATTGGCCGTTGATAATAATTAGTTCACTAAAGTACTTCAAAGCCATTTTTGTGCAGTCATTTTGAGTTTAGCGGTCATTATATAAAAATAGTTGCTATGATTGACCAATCAAAATGAAGTGTTCCAATGAGTCAAATACTTTGTCTGTCCAACCATTACTGTAAAATTTGCTGTTAGAAGCAAGAAACAATCCTCTCTTTGTGCACACAGAGAAATGATACACATCGATGCACAGGATGACATTAGGCTCCCATCATTTCATTTGACCTGATTTTAATTAGTCTGATGGCTGTATCCTGTGCCAAGAAGATGGGTTTCTTATTAACCTTGTATACCCCCATTTCCCTCAGTTGGCTGTTGCCAGTGCAGTAACCTGGACTGCGCCAATGCAGGAGGGAGGGGGTAGAGCTAGTTAAACACATTAGGCCAGCAATCCATTTTAGTGATGTATTGATTAATCTCAGAGGGATGTGGAAGCCATGGAGAGTCACTGAGGTCTTTTATCCTAGTGCATCAAGATGTTTCTCTCTGTGGGAAATAGGTAAAGAGACTTCTCAAACAGCCTCCTAATTTGTCCTGAACGGTCACCATGACGACTACAGTGGTTTTCTGTAGTGGGCTGATGCCTCTCAAGCACGGTTTAGGAAGTGAATGCACGAATGTCTCCAGTGACAGTCAATTAAAGCTCATGGAGTGGCCGAGTGTGTGCTTTGACCTGTGTGCCCTCACTCGTCACCAAGCCTTTGAGATTAAGTGAGTTAAAAATGCTGCGTTTAGTTGAAGTCAATGTGCTTTAGCCCACTGTGTGACTCAAATGGCAAAAGGGAAGTGGTGACCTAACACAAGATAGACTGACGGCAAGATAGACCTTTCTGTTGTAAAGACATAATGAGTTGCGCCATTTGCTAATTTGACATTTTAGCTGATGTTTTTATCCAAAGGAACTTACAGTATACTTGTTACAGTTTCTTTTTGAAACAGGACTTGTTGAATAAAAGAGCCAAAAAAATAAATAAATTAAGAACAGATTGTATTTATGCCATATCAATATCACTCTGTTTTGTAAGAATAGCCATGCCTGTTAAATAAATACATTTTGTGTCGAATATTGTGTTGATTATGATTCCAAATATTTCATTCACTAATCCCAAACAATCGATCCATATATTCCAATTGGACTTCACTCTACAAAACAATCAAAATAAATTATAATACATTTCTAAAAATATACACATTTTTATAAATATACATTATTCTTTATTTATTTATATAATTATTATAATTTATAGGTCTTAATTAGGATGACAGTATTGAACTTCAACCAGTAAATGTACATTAACTAACTAAATAAATAAATAAAACATGCTCATAATTAACTAGTTTTCTACAACAAAAAAAATAAAATAAAAAGACCTAAAATGCCTCAGTGGGCATATCTACACGGCCTCAAATGAATCAGTAAATCTGATTCATTTTAGTGAATCGTTTCATTCAGATGGTTCTTTGCCAGCAGCTTGAATTAGGCCTACGTGAACTGTACAAATGAACAATAGTATTTTTGTGAAATATTTCTATTATTGTTCAAAATACCCTTTATTACAACATAAATCTGCAGTGGATATATTTTTTTTTAATTACAAATGATCATGCGAGCAACCAGTACCACTAACTGACAGTTCCTGATTCATTTCGAATTGAACATAAACCATAAAAATTACTCGCGGTTCAATAAGGGAATCAGTAATGGCCTTGAACGATTGAGTGAGTGAGCCGAGTGAGTCAGACTCAAAACTTTTACCAACGAGTGAGAACGACAATTTTGTTTCCGAATCTTTTTGACTCATTAAAAATGAACCGGTTCATAAGAGTCATTTGTTCACGATTCGGACATCACTTCACGCGCTGTGCTTGTTTGAGTACGAAACACTGCCACGAGATCTGACTCATATGGACACACACAAAGGTTTGTCGACTGTATTTTTTTATTTATTTTTTTTGTCGCGTTTGCTGCCGTTTTAGTTGCAGTCTTGATTCCTGTGGTATTAAAAGGCTAATTTATTTACTTTTGTAAGTTCGCTTAGTAACACTAGTGGCACAGGAATTAGACAGATTGCTATTTAGGTTAGTAGGCCTATACAAATTTAATTAGATCTGCTGACTGATCTGTAAATAACATTTGTATACCATAGAGCAGTGATCCTCAAATCTGGCTCGTGAGATCCACTTTCCAGCAGAGTTTAGCTCCAACCCTATAATCAAACAAACCTACCTGTGATTTTCTAATGATCCTGAAGACATTGATTAGCAAACTCCGGTGTGTTTGATTAGGGTAGAGCTAAACTCTTCAGGAAAGTGGATCTCGCGAGCCAGATTTGAGGATCACTGCCATAGAGTCTCTAAGAGCATGCACTCCCTTCGGTCTCTGATTGGATAAGAGGACGGCAGGCCAAACTGAAATATGTTTACTGCAGATGCATGAGTTGGGGAAGCTATTGTGACAAGGAGACAGCAAAGGCTTTGTGTTCTCATTAACAGCTAATTTGTGCTCCCACTGTTTGCTCCTTTTATTGTTTTGTGGTTAAGTTGATGTCAGTCTGTGTTAAAAGAAGAATTTAAATGGAAGAATTATTGATTACTCCCAGAAAAATGATGTATTTTCAGCATTTTCAAACTAAAAAACACCACAGAATGACTGTTTTTTTTTTGTGTGTGCATTCTCTCATTCTTAGGATTTTCATGTGTAGAAACAGTCTCCAGCACCATAATCAAGATCTACTGCTGCTGCACCTTCTTGACTTGACCAGTCTGGTCTTCTGCATCAATCAGAGTCACATGAATGGACGAATGGCTGAATTCTGCTAGCTAATTTGATGCGACACGCTTGAAACATCGACTTAACAGGTGAGAAGGTTAAATGACCAACAACATGTTTGATCCTCAGATTTATCCTGGATGGATCGACAGTCATCAAAAGCATGTTGCTGTCTCACCAAATTCAATAACTCCCCCACCATGTCATGAAAATCTCATTATCTGCCACTGAACAATATATCTAGATATCGATTTCTCTGATTGCTACCTTCTCTCTTTCTTTCTCCTCCTGTCTGGCTTTATAATTTGTTTTCAGCTTCTTTGTGAGCTGTACGAATGGGCAGTAAGTATGTTAATTTAGATTAAGGGGAAGCAGGCAAAGAACTTCACACTGACAGAATAAGATCATAGACTTATTCTTCCGTGCTAATAGAAACAAAGTGAAGGGATTTATAATATGGACCTGCTATTAATATACAGGAATAGGCTGGGCAATATATCAAATATTTATGAATTCCAGCAACACTAATCATTTAAATGCACTTTTTATTTTGTCATCAAGTTTCCTAAAGACATTAGATTAGTTTTGTGACCCTTCTTTGTCTTGTAAGACAGAGTTTAGACAGATGATTCATCTCTAATTTAAGAGTTTGATTCGTCAAACTAGTGAACCATTAAACTTAAACTGTAAGTGTACTGTATAAATAAATAAATAAAATGATACAAAATACAATTTTATATGCTATAAAAATACATTTTATTTCTAAATATATACACATTTTATTATTGTATATAATTGATCATTTATACACCATAAGTGAAGGTGATTAATGACACCTTTTAATATTCATTGTTCATGTCATCCCTAACCAAACATTGGCATTACATGCACTAAAAATGTCAATGGTGACCCTTTACGAAACAGCTCTGTGTATGTTACAGAAGGGCACTCAAAAGTGACCCCTGAACGAAATTGATTTCATCCCTGAGAAGCACTGGAAAGGAAACGTGTGCAGAAAGAAGGGTCCTTTAGAGTCAATGCCGCAGAACGCCTGAGCAGCAAAAAGTGTCGGAAGGCTTGTAGATTCAATTAACTGGACTGAATTAAACTTCGCCTTTTTTTTTACCACAGAACCTTCTTCTGATGCCCCTGGAGTTTTTAATTAGATTTCCTCTCTCCTTCAGGCCTCTTATAGTGAACTGCTTTCTGATGGATTTTGGATGGAAGAGGCGAATGGGAGTTCTGTCAAGAGCCCTGTACGCTCTCCAAAACTGCCAATCAAAGCCACACATAACCAGACTGTTCAGAAATGCTACATGAGCATTAAAAATTGAAGAAGACCATTCAATATGGGACACGTTCATGTATTTCAAACTAAATTTTTTAAAGAAAATGTGAGTGGTGCTTGCACATGCAAAACTTTTAGCTTACTAGTCCAAGTCAAAAGAGAGCACATCCAAGTTTCTGTGATATTCTGGTCTGTACAATATGTGAGAGGAGAAACAGAGATATCTCGTTACTTGTGGCACTGCACTCAGTTGACGTAAAATAACATGCATGAAAGGCACTATCAAAGGTGTAGAGTAATATATAAATGTGTTTAGCGCCATGTTGAAACGTGAGTGCTGGAGAGATAAGGGTCACTGTCTAAAATAACAAGGCCTGTGTGTTAAGGCTCGCTGTCAACTCTTTTAACACCCAGTTTGCTGTGGAAGAAGTTGGGTCACAGATCTTGTTAAGCATATAAAGACATGAAGCCACATGCAGGATCATCCCAAAAAGACAAGATCCGGAATCTCAATGTGGCGATACCACCTACTGATTCCTGACGGATGTCAGATTTCACATGGGGTCCTAAAGTAAAAGAAAAAAAAAAAAAAACAGGGACTGAACATCCATTTTAAACCTAGAAAAAGAAAGTTTTAGATTTTGATAAAAGAGAAGGATGTAAAATAAATCACATTTTATATTCTATACTATATCTTGGTTACTAATCAATTAAGTAAATTAGAAAGAAATTAGAAGGAAACATAAAATTAATGTCCAGTTTTAAATTAAATTAAATTCACAGAAAATTTGATGTTGATTAAATACTTTGTAATAAATACATTTGTATTAAATGTTTTCATTTTTTATATAAAAAAGTTAAATAATATATAAAAACGATATAATTATAAAAAATAAATATTTTCACTTGTGGTCTTGTGTACACTAAAAACAATGTAACAATTTTCACTCAGAAACAGCTTGTAAACTTCACAAACAAAATTTTGACGTAAAAAGACTGAAATAGTATTTTCTTGTAAAACATATTCCAATAATCTTTTGTTGTTTTTACATATGAAAAGTAATTTTTTTTGCATTTAAAAAAGTTGAAAAAACATGAAATAATTTAAAAAATATGTATATTTTAAACTTTTTTTTTTTGCAAAAAAAAACAAACAAAACATGACCATGACAAAAAAAGACAATAAACATGTTATCCTTTTAGATTACATAGATTATATATGTATACAGTGCTGCTTGAAAGTTTGTGAACCCTTCAGAATTTTCTATATTTCTGCATAAATATGACCCAAAAGGGTCCCATTCCCATTCCAAAGTTTGTCCCATTCCTTAGTACAGAACCACTTCAACTCTGTGATGTTGGTGTGTTTCCTCTTATGAACTGCTTGCTTCAGGTCCTTCCGCAACATTTAAATTGGATTAAGGTCTGGACTTTGACTCGACCATTCCAAAAACATTAACTTTGTTCTTCTTTAATTATTCTTTGTTAGAATGACTTGTGTGCTTGGGGTTGTTGTCTTGCTGCATGACCCACTTTCTCTTGAGACTCAGTTCTCGGACAGATGTCCTGACATTTCCTTTAGAATCTGCTGGTATAATTCAGAATTCATCGTTCCATCAATGATGGCAAGCCGTGCTGGATCAGATGCAGCAAAACAGAGTGTAAATAGAGTGCAAGTCTAAAAGGGGCAATTTTTAAAAATTTTTTTTTAATAAAGAATAGAATTAGAATAGAGAGTGCTAGAGTTAGAGGGTCAAATAAAGATGGAAGAGATGTGTTTTTAGCCGATTCTTGAAGATTGAGTTGGGCAGGTCATTCCACCAGGAGGGAACATTTAATTTAAAAGTCCATGAAAGTGATTTTGTGCCTCTTTGGGATGACACAATAAAGCGACGTTCACTTGCAGAACGCAAGCTTCTAGAGGGCACATAAGTCTGGAGTAATTAATTTAGGTAAAGGGGTGCAGAGCCAGTGATGGTTTTGTAGGCAAACATTAATGCCTTGAATTTTATGCGAGCAGCTGTTGGTAGCCAGTGCAAATTGATAAACAGAGGTGTGATGTGCATTTTTTTCGGCTCATTAAAAAGTAATCTTGCTGCCTCGTTCTGGATTAATTGTAAAGGTTTGATAGAACTGGCTGGAAGAGTATTCCTGCCAAGAGAGTATTGCAATAGTCCAGCCTGGACAGAACAAGAGCTTGAACAAGGAGTTGTGAAGTTAGCCACACGTTCAACAACGCTCAGCTCTGAGACATATCTGACAGCTACAGGTCATAGTCCGCAGATGCATTAAACACTTAACTAGATAGCAGTGTTAATTTTGACAGCAAATTTTGATTTAGTTTTAGTCATAGTCTTTTGAACAAAATGCCATTTAGTTTTAGTCATATTTAAAAATTAAATAAAACCACTTCTCATAAAGAACATGGTCTTATTTTGAATGAAATACCAATGGTTATATAGGCTAATTATGCATTCTTTATAGCAACTTGTTTACCATATTCTTCATTCTTTCAAGCAGACATATTTATTTCTATAAATAAATTTAGATTCATCTTTAGGGGTACTAAAGTTTTTCAGTCAAGAGCAGTGCGTGATTTGCTTAATTAACATCAATGACTCAGACAATAGCAAATAAATTCGGCTGCTATCCCTTTAAAACCGAATGCACAGCTGCAATGGATGCAATGAACTGATACACGTTCTCCCTGCTGTTTCACTTAAGACGTAATCAACTGTGTTTACGCGAATACTCGTCAAAACTGACAATTCGACATCATTTTGTGTGTAATTCTCCGTTCATGCGACGCGAAAGAGTACTCGCGCGCTGTGAGAGGCGCTTTCTGTGTGTGTATGCTTCAGTGTCTGCGCTCAGAAAACCGGACCGAACTGAGTTCTCTCTTGCGTCGTCAGATTTATCCATATGTCTGCTCTTCTCTTACTCCCACATATTGACATTTTTTAACGTTTTATGCGACGTGCAGCAAGTGTATGTTAGCTTATGTCCCGCCGGTTCATATACGCATCTAACCTCCGAACCACGCAACAGATTCATTCTGAATGAATCTCTTCCCAAATCGTTCCTTCCCTGACATTTTCATCTTGTTTTTATTCGTTGACGAAAATGTCAATAGATTTACGTCATAGTTTTTGTCATTCAAACAGAGTTTTAGTTCGTTATTGTCTCGTTGTCGTCGGTGAAAAAAATGAACACTGCTAGATAGGAATAGAATAGTATGAAGTACATCAAATGTTAGCTAACAGAGGCATTATTTGCCCCCACAACTGGGCCATTTGTGAGATTTCAATTATCATTTTTTTTTTTACCATGGTTAACTTCTAACCCTGCTGCCCTGTGAATTTTTTTTTTTTGCTGCAATGGAAAACTAAAGGTGCGATGGTTAAAACAATTCGTTAAGAGGAAACAGCACATGCACAAGGTTAAAACGAGGCATGAATCCAATTATAAAGTTTCACACTTTCAGACAGGAGCTGATGGCTGACGCAGAAGTGCAGCGTTCACCGCGTACGCTTTCAGCTGCTCTCAACAATTATAAAAATAACTTCAGTGTTGTTGAGAGCGAGGCAGTATGGATTTCTCCCAAACTTTAGGTGACTCAAGGTAGATGAGAGACACAGAATCAGTATTTTGCTGAGAGGGCAACTCTATTGATCGACATCAAGAAATACATAGAGATTTATCGATCTGATGTCTGTGGAAGGGCCGGTCTGTATCGGCTCCCCACGTAACCACCTAGCGGCTGAAATTTCGCTTAAAAAGACCCACTCAATCGTTGCTATCACTAAACTGCCATTCCCCACACAGAGAGAGAGAGAGCTATTAACAAAAACTGATTATAAATGAATCATTCTATGAAAGATAAATGCACTACATCAAGACACAATTCTTCAAAAGACTTATTTCATCAATCTTCTTCCAGGTGGAGAGATTTCGAGTCGGCCAAACCAATTTGAGAAGATATAATAGCGACATGCTTAAGACAATCATGCAGAAACACTTTTAATGAGCAGCAAACATTAAAAGTTCACTTTATGCTCAGCTCAACTCTGAAAATAGCTCAGCGGTAGTGACAAAGGATAATTGATTTTAACAGGAAGGAAAAAAGAAAAACATTTTTATATGGCAAGGAATTATTTAAAGAACAAAGTGTGAGCGATTTGAAGAGTAAAACACAAGGCATCTCTCTATCTCCTTTAGTAAATTCTCGTTTCTTTCAAACCTATTCGCTTTAAAACTCCTATAGTTTGTCTTTGCATGTTCAGTCCTCTAAAATAAAAGTGCAAACACCAAGTTTCATATAAGTTTGCAGTACAAAGACGAGAGATAAAATGGATTAACAGTTTGATGCTCTTTGGTGGCTAAAGTTCACTATTCCAGTGTCTCATTAGAAGCAACACAGTGTGATCCTGCATTTGAGAAAAAGATGAAAAGTCAAAGGGCAAACACTGTAGCTCAAGAGTCAAGTGGAGATCATGTCCTCAACTGGGGTTGAAATAATACAATCACGTCATCTACACTAAGCCTGACTCTTCTTTCTGACAGATGAGCACTGTTTAGACATAAACCCATAGTTCACCCAAAAATTAACATTCTGTCATCATTTGCTCACCTTCAAATTGTTCCCAACCTGTATGAATTTTTAAACTCTTGAACACAAAATAAGAATATTTTGAAGAATGTTGGTAACCAAACAGTTGATGCTCACCACTGATTTCCATAATATGGAAAAAAAAAAAAAAATGATGGAAGTCAATGGCTACCATCAACTGTTTGGTTATCAACATTCTTCAAAATTAATTAATTGTGTTCAGCGGAAGAAAAACTTATACAGGTTTGGAACAACTTGAGGGTGAGTAAATGACAGAATTTTCATTTAACTGTCCCTTTAACACTGTTTCAGATGTTACTAAGTGTTAATGCTGTCAAAGTTTACTGCTGTGGTAAGTGACCAATGCTGAAATGCTAGAAAAAGCCCAAACGATC